TGGGCGGGTGGAAAGGACTAGTTTCCACGCCACGCCGCACAGTGTTTCGACTATAAGAAGGCAGGTGGAAATAATAGTACACCTGCACCGATTTCACTGAAACTTGACATGTGCTCTAGTTTTACTTAGAAATAGAGAATTATGAAATTTTGTATAGATGGAATAATTGCCACGCCCTCTACTCTCGTGGGTGGAAAAATTAAATTTCATCCGATTTCCATGAAATTTAATTTGTACTCTTTATTTTATTACAAAAACTTAAATATAAAATATGGGGAAGATTGGGTCACTATAACGTCCAAAGCTAACAAAAAATGTGGGCGCAGTCCACTGCTTTCCACTCTCAGAAAACAAAGGTTATACTATAAAATGACTTAGGTGTAAATACTTGCTTTTTTCCATTTCTTTGTGAGATTTTTTCGTTGTTCGAAAAATTCTTTTCGCGAAATTATGCAAAAAGAAGCTGAAAATCAAAAATTAAGAAAATCAAAGTTTACACATATTTGAAAAGTCGCGGGGAAAGATCAAATTTTATATTCGAAAACTACAAAAAATTCTCTAAAACATTCGTCTGATTTCAAGACCTGACGGACCGGTACTCACACTTTTTTTACTAATAATCTTTAGCATCTACATTTCAAAGTAAATTTTTTGGTAAGAAAATAGGAAAGTACCAAATAAATGATAAATACCTTCACCTGAATATTCCACGACGTTTAAATAATTGATTACAGTTGATAAACAAACACTTTCTTTAATGGGTTAATCGCCAAAGGCAACTAAACTGATTAGTCGGTATTTATGGCTTTTACTTTTACGTCTCTAAGTCCAACTGGTTTTTTTTATCAACTGTCACCACGACTTTTATCTACCTGCCTCCATATAGTCGAAACACTGTGCGCCGTCGCTGCTCTATATTTAAGTAATTACAATCCAATAGGCCGCACTGACACTGGTGTTGGGTAGTCGGTCTGAAAGGATGAGTTCCAGAGCCGAAATTAATATATTTCGGATACGAAATTTATTATATTGCGCATCATTTGATAATATCGGAGAAATCCTTTATTTTTAGTCTTCTTGCATATCTCGGGCTAAGAAGATCCCTCGCTAGTCGAGTAACTGGTGCTTAGCCCTCTTATATCCTCATGCACCGTATTTACATTCAGATCTTCGTGGATATTCGTATTTTTTATGTACCACGTTGCTCCGCATATGGAGTGTAAAATTTTTGACTGCAGTCTTTGAAGTCTGTTCAAAATGGAATTGCACGCTGTGCCCCAAAGCCCGACTCCATATGCCCAGCATGGTTTAATCATCATATTAAAAAGCAACATCTTGTTATATATTTGTCTTGTTGTCCTATAACCCATAGAAGGCTTGCTTGTTTTAGTTTCGCTTGAGAAATTTTGTTTTCTCTATGCTTTTTCCAGGTAAGTCTTCTATCTAGTTTCATCCCAAGTTATTTGACACTATCTTTTTGTGGTATAGCCTTGCTGTTTATTTTTAGTGTTGGGCAAGTTTCTTTCTTCAAAGTAAATGTTGTCTGAACACACTTGCTTTCGTTAGCCTTTATCCTCCAAGAACCTAGCCATAGCTCTCACTTTTTCAAATATTCTTGCAGCTTGTAAGAAGCCTCTTTAGGGTCTGAACTATTGCTTAGGATAGCTGTGTCATCAGCAAACGTTGAAATGGTTAGACTATCATCGGTTGGCAAATCACGAGTGTATATTACGTACAATATGGGTCCTAGATGGTAAGCAGTGCGCGCTTCCTCTCCGCTGCGCCTGGGTTCAAGCCCTGGTCAAAGCAACATCGAAAAAAATATAGAAAAAAGGTTTTTTCTTAACAGCGGTCGTCCCTCGGCAGGCAATGGCAAACCTCCGAGTGTATTTCTGCCATGAAAAATAGCTTCTCATAAAAATACAATCGCCGTTCGGAGTCGGCGTAAAACTGTAGGTCCCTCCTCTTTGTGTGACAACATCAAGGCTCACACCACAAATCGGAGGAGAAGCTCGGCCAAACACTAACATATGTGTACGCGCCAATCTATTATTATTATTATGGGTCCTAGAACACTGCCTTGAGGGACACCTGCATATATTGGTGACTTTCCGTTCCAATAGAATTCTGCCTGACTCTGAAGTTTCTCCCCAGCAGAAAGCTTTCCAGAATTGCATGCGTATTTGCAGGGAGTGAAACCTTTAGTTTGTATATAAGGCCATCATGCCAGACTTTGTCAAAACCGGTGCAGTATTGCTTCCCTTCGAAGGCTTTTCTAATACAAGAAACAATTCTATGAACTTGTTCTACGGTGTCATGTTTTTCACGAAAACCAAACTGATGTGGTGGTATTTTTTGGGTACTTGTTAGTGATGGTTGTATTTTTTTCAATAGAAGGTGTTAAAATTTTTTGGAAAATACAGAAATCAAGCTAACCGGCCGATATAAACTTACTACCGTCGATTTTTTGCCTGGCTTTGGCACCATAATTATTTCCGAAAGTTTCCATAAGTCGGGGAAGTGCCCCAACTTAAGCATGTTATTAAAAATATGTAACAAAAAATGTAGCAGTTTTTGGAAGCTCCTTTATCATTTCACCTGTAATCCTATCTTAACCAGGCGCTTTATTCTTCTGAATATCATTAACAATGGTGTTAATTAAATCTTTCTTTTTAACCCGAAGCGGACTTGTGGTATGGTTACTGGGGGGTATTGAAATATTGGATGGATGAGAGCCTTCATTGGGTCTAAAGACTTGTGAAAGATGACAGGCGAAAGCGTTTGCTTTATCCTCATCATTCCTCGCCCAGCTTCCTTTCTGAGTACGTAATGATGCTTCTCAAAGAACGGGCCTCTTCGCATGCTTCAGTGTTCGCCAAAGGGAGTAGTCAGTCTGTTTCGAAGCAGACAAGGACTGAAGTATCGACTGCGTACTTCTTTCTTTTTCCGCTTGCAACAAAATACGTAATTCTTTTGTACACACATTCAGCTCCTGTTTAAGCTTAGGAGAGCGAATTCTTTGCCATTCCCTTCTTAATTTGCGCTTTTTAACCGACTCCCAAAAAAGGAGGAGGTTATCAGTTCGTCGGAATATTTTTATTTTTTTTTTTTTTTTTTTNCATATGCCAATCACTATTTATGTATTAATATCGCACGTTCACAAAAAACAGTGTATGCATATTAAACGAAACCTATATGTACCTGTGTTACTGGACACGCTGAATAGGAATCCGAGGTCCGTTAGCCACCATCAGTCAAGTTCGTGGTCATTTGAAGGTCGAGTAGGGAAAAATTGAATAAACCTGAAAATTCTTCTGAATTTGACCTCTAGATGACTTTGAGGAATCAAGGGACCTCCATATTCGACAACAAAAACAATTTTTTTTTATATTTTTATTGAATAAATTTTTTGTCCTATTTGACCACTTAAATGACCTCGAAGCTGACATTATGGAGGTTAACGGACCTCGGATTCGGGTTCAGCGAGGCCAAGGCCCCATATATATGAATTTCCAGGCTTATTCAAGAATTTTTCCCTACTTGACCTTCAACTGACCACGAACCTGACGTGGTGGAGGCTAACGGACCTTGGATTCGCATTCAGTGTGTCGAATAACTTAGGTATATATAGGTTTCGTTTAATATGCATACATGAAAACTTTGATCGCAATAATTATTACAAAAATAAGGTTCATAAATATTAAATTTAAAAAAATATATATATAAAAATCGAATACTGGCGAAATATTTTGCTGATGTATTTATGGATACTCAAGCTAAGAAATGCAAATACTTATTGCAATATTTGTTACTTTGTGAAAATTGAGGGGGCCACTTCAGGAATTTTTACTCAGGGGTATTTTTTAAGTTTTACCTATTTGACTTATAGTTTTTGAGGCTTTGTGAATGCATCAAATGTGGAATATCCTAGGTACACATCGTTTTGAAGAATGAAATTAAAAACTGACAATTGTAGCAAACAAAAATAAAATATACACAGGGAGGTATGAGGAATTGATACTTATTAAGAAACATGCAGGAAATATGCCTCTAATACCTATGTACAAATGATGATACTTTTAGTAAAAACAAAGTTTGGGATGTACATATTTTATAAATGTTGTGTCAGTTTATACATGCATCTTATGAGCCTAGTCAATCAGTAATCAGACCTCACACTGAACCTATCCTTGGTTTTCGAGTGCGATTAACTACGAATTCAAACTCGAAACTCGTAGAGTGGATTTATCGAATCTATTTATATAGAGAATGCGAAGAGTATAATAGGAAAAATCTGGAAAGATCTTTCAAAACATTTTTACTTTAATATTTATTTGGCTTTCAAGCTACGTTGTTCTTTTGATTTCGAAACATCAATAGACGTACTTTCTTCATATTTTATTTGTAGTGAGTTCTGATTAAAAGAACTTCTTCTGCACTAAGAACTTTCTCAAAAAAGAAAAATTCACTCCGCAACCTTGACCCTACATACGAAAAAGTAAGTTGCGTAGGAAGTTTAAGATTTATTTTAAATTTTAAGTTGTGGTATATTTTTGGGACTTCTCATATTATTCTGGTTTTTATTGAAACTGTGAGGTATGCACTTTGAAAGATGTTGGAAATACAACTGTTCATTTATTGCAGTAATACAAAAGGGAGAGTAATTGTTTTTAATTTTTATTATAATTCGATTACATTTATAGTACGTTCTATAGGTAATATGAACTCTTTAAAATTGGGCTCTTCCGATCTGGAATAAACTTTTGATTATGAAAACTTCTAACGGGTGCCATAGGAATTAGGAAAACATCAACGTGGGTTATAAAGTTTGGGGCAGCCTGAATCAAAGTCAATAACAGTGCAATCTGGTGACAGACAATAGCTTGTATGCCATAGGTGCCAAACATCATTTTTGCATGCATGAATTACGTAACTACGAGGACAATGACGCTGAGGACGCTGATTGTAACATCTGAAAAGGAATTTAAATTTGCACTCACTCTCACCTGCACTTCCAAAGCATGGTAAGCTACAATAAGACCTAAAAGAATCACAGTCGAAACAGATATTAAGGTTTTTAACGCTGTCGAATAAAACGATGCCTGAAAAGTTAAGAAAAACACAAATTATTCCATATTTATGAATGTGCGTACATGTTCAAATATAAATAAATATGTATGAGGAATACGAGTTTTAGAATTCTTGCGACATACATGCAAACTATGTATAAGATTTATTTTAAAGTATACCCCTATTTTTTCATTTTGAAATCAAAAAATATTTAGAGGTCGCTCAAAGCGCTCAAAGTTTTTCACGTATTTTTATATGGGAAAAAAGCAACTTTTCGTAGAAATGGTATAGAATTCTTGAAAATAAATATTTTTCGATCGGAAAACTCTTGTTCTCTTCAGGAGACTTTCAATAATAGTACCCATTGTTTATTTAACCATTTTTTAATACTAACGATTTTTTATTTCTCCCCCCATTGAAAAAATGGTTAAATAAACAATTGGGTATTATTATTGGGAATCTCCTGCAGATAAGCAGAGTTTTCCGATAGAAAAATATAGATTTTTAAGAATTCTATACCATTTCCACGAAAAGTTGTTTTTCCCCATATAAAATACATGTAAAACTTTGGGCGCTTTTAGCGACCTCTAAATATTTTTTGATTTCAAAATAAAAAAATAGGGGTATATTTTTTCGGTATAGAAAAATCCTAGGGGGTGAGAGCATAAAAATTCCAACTTTACTTTTTCACTTGCATTTTTGGACCATTTTAATGTCCATTCATATGTATGTAAATATTTTCAAAACTGAAATATGCATACATAACTCTCGTATCTATACTTTCTTTGGCAGTATAATACTTTTTTTTGGATTCCAAAAATGGATACTGCGTTTTTTTCCAAAATACTGCATTTCCACTTTTTTTGGTGCCTAAATTTTTTATTCCACAGGGTTCGCGGGAACACGTTTTAAAAATGTACATATGTATCTGGGGCGTTCCATACCAAAACGGACGGGGTTCACACTTCATGTGTTTAATTTGTTTCAAATTTTCAGGGTTGATGCATAAACATAAATAATAAATAAATATGAAATTTGAGCTGGATTAATACATTTTCAAAAACTTTACAGCACAAAAACAAAAACAAATGAATTTAATAGTTTTCCAAATATCTCGAGAACGCGGCGGGGAAAAAATTAAAAAAAAATCACACTACACACATCAATATTCTCTACGAAAAGAAATATTTACAAACATCAAATTTTTTTTATAAAAAAAAATAGTTTTTGAAAATATGCCATCTCAAAAAAAATTGAAAAAATCACAATGGTAGCTCTGAGTATTGCGCAATATTTAAGTATAGTTTTATGTATGGGGTGCCCTCTACAATAATTTGAGTTATGAATTTTTTTTCACACCGAAGTTGTAGAGTGCAGCCCATAATACTATACTTAAATATTGCGCAATACTCAAAGCTACCATTGTGATTTTTTTCAATATTTTTTGAGATGGCATATTTTCAAAAACAATTTTTTTATCATAAAATGTGTATGTTAAAAGTTTTTCAAGAAAAAATAATTTTAAAAATATTTATTTTAATAGAGAACTTTGGTGTGCGTATGTGTGATTTTTTCAGATTTTTTCTCGCCCCGTTCTCGTGATATTTGGAAAACTATTAAATTGATTTGTTTTTGTTTTTGTACTGTAAAGTTTTTAACATGATACAAAAAAGAAGGTTGACTTTTGACATTTGACTTTTAATAAAATTATGACATTTCAGTAAATTCATGCTACCTGATCACGAGCGGTAATATTTTTTTTAAGCTGAAGATTTCATCAGTCCATTTCGAATATGATGAACCTGAAAATTAATGCATAATCTCAAAAATTGGGTTGACGAAACTAGGTTTCAGAACGGATGAAGAAAGTGATAAAAGTTATACTTATGCTAATTGCTTATCGGAGGGCAGTCTGCGCAAGCCGAATTCAAGTTTTTGCATACATTGGAAATTTTAAATTCGAAATTTGTTGAAGTTAATGGTGATACGCTAACCACAAAGCCTAATTTTTGCAAAATCTGATGAGAAATTTTAAAGTAAATTTTCACGAATTTCATCACGAATCACGAGTTTCATGTGAACAAATATTCCCGAAATTATAAAGCAAAACAAAAATATTTTTTCCCAATTAGTTTTTGTTTTGCATGTTAAGTTATGAGAACAATTTATTCACACGGAATTGGCGATTATAAAAAGATTTATTTGGAAAGAGCATTCTTTAGAATTAGGTTTTTAAATCGCAAGATTGCAATCAAAATAAGAAAATGAAAAAATAACAACATAATGCTCTCGTGATTTTTGTTATAAAATAATAAGAACAATTTCAATGAAGTCTCCTTTAACATTACATATTTTATATATTTTTAATAAAAAAGGTGCGAACCACGTAAGTAAAAAAATTACTGGTAATGATATTTGATTTGAAATATTATTAAATTGGTATAAATGTGGGAAAGAAAATACTCCGATTTATTGTTTTAATATTATCAAAGTGGCAAAGCCGTTGAGAATACTCACAATTTATGAAACTTCAAAAAATTTTATAATCCGTCAGAAGATGTTTATTGAAACTACCTTCTTTTTTGTATCATGGTTTTTAAAAATGTATTAATCAAGCTCAAATTTCATATGTATTTATTATTTATGTTTATGCATCAATCCTAAAAACTTGAAACAAATCAAACACATGAAGTTTTTGCATGGATCGCCCCATATACTATTATGTAAGGAAAGGGCTAAGAATTCGCGTTGATTTTTAGTAATTTTTTTGCCGACTGTCTTATTATTTTATTATTATTATTTTCTTCCATACAAAACAAACTGTCGAACACAGTAACTTTGTGTGGAAGAAAATGCGTGACGTCGTCAGCACAAAAAAAAAACAAAACAAAAATCAAAGATCAACGGTATTTTTGAGACACTACAAACCATGGTGTGCATCTTTTTTGAATGGTATTATGTGTACTAGAGGTTTACGCCGACAGGCTTTGCGGCGGCGGCGTGGTCAGCTTGAAAAAGAATCGGCGGCGGCGGCGACGCCGGCGCGTCTGAAAACGCCGGCGCTACTGCCCATTAGGTAGATTCAAAATAGACATAAAGCTACTAATCTTATCATGTCATCTCGTCAGCGTTAGGCATTGGCCATGCCAATTCAGATTGTAATTGTATTTAATTAATTCATTGAATTAGTTTTAAATTAAAATCACGTTACTTTCTACTTGAATTAAAATGTTGAGTGTCTGCTGCTGATGGATGGGCAAACAGAAGAAAGTCCGACGTATATAAATAAATACATCTCTATGTTCTCTACAAATCCGTATATGTATACTACTGAAATTTAAAGAAATAAAAAAATTTAAAATGTTAAGTTATTGGGGTAATTTATGTCGCTATCAAAATTTTTTTGCAATAATCTTATCATCCGTTATGTTAAATTACGGAGTTGTTACGATTCTTTGCGGGTCATATGTATATTGAAAACAAGGTTTGGTCAACTTCCACCAGAACGGGCCTTTCTGGCCACTTATAGGTAGCTAAAATATCCACTAAAATATTAAGCGCCAAATTTTTGTAAGGAGAACTGAATGTAATGAAAAATAATAGTAATTTTTACGAAAAATGGGGACTTTAACCCTGTGTAGAAGACATTGCGATGCGCGGGAGCAAACGCCTCCTGGGATTTGACCACCACTTGGGAACAGGGCTTCCAACTATACTTAGCTATGAAGTGCCATATTGAGGATAAAAAAGTGCCAAAATGTGCCAAATAGAAAAATATAACGTGTTACCTATGTTTTTTCTGAGTTACGCTTTTTTGGAAATGTTCAGTGGCCCAAATTATGCGAAATAACTCCTTTAAAAATTTAATCCTCTTTTCGTAAAATAGTGTCTTTATACGAGTAGTATTTACTTCCTTCAAACGATGTATTTTAATGTGCATACATCATGAAAATTTTGTACAAAATTCCTTAGGCGCCGAACGCCGCCGCCGCCGCCGCCGCGCCGATATTTACGTAACTCGGCGGCGGCGCGTGAGAAATGACAAAAAACGGCGGCGGCGGCGGCGTGGCTCGGCGGCGTATACCTCTAATGTGTACCATACCATGAATTTCTTTAATTTATTGCAAATTTTTCCTGTAATATACCGTAAAAAATGCATTTATTTTTAAATGGAGATACTGCGAAACGGGATTTTTGCGCAGTAATATACTAGGGGTATATATTACCACATCATGCTATCTATGCACCATGCTAACCAGATTGTGAATACCCCTACTGTTTTTTGACCGAAAAAATATACGAGCGTTAGGCATACACTATATGCATGCCTAAATGCAATCACCAGGGCTGGAAAAATATGCCAGGAAAACTGAAATTAATCGCTATAAAAATCGTGATAAATTACCCAAATCTGCTCTTTAATATGCTAAATCAATGAAGTATTATTTAATTTTTTTCAATATTTTAAATCAATAATCTCGAAAATACAGTATAAAATAATATGCTTTTTTAAATTATCAATCGAAAATGACCTTCTACGATCATTTAAAATTGTTGAATAATTCGAAAAACTCTTTTCCACGCCCGTAAATGTAGTTACACAAAATTTTAATAAATCTAATTCTGCTGCGGAGTACTTCGATAAATCTTTACTCTTAGTTATGTTACATTTTTTATATTAGCAATTGTTTTATATTAGCAATTGTGGTATAGTTAATGTGACCAACCGTACTTCTTTCGGAAGTACAGTACTTCTTTTTTCGCTCTTGTACTTCGTACTTCGAAGTACAGTCAAATGTACTTCTTTGCGATACTTTGTACTTCAGGAGGGGGAATTTGTAACTAGTTGGCGACAATTTTCGGATCGCTATCGCACTTTTCTTCGTTTTTTACTTGGATGGGGTCGATGGGTTCAGGATTATGGCAGCCCTACAATACGAGCACTCCACAAGGTGGTGTTCTCTCTCCCCTGCTCTGGATTGCGGTTATAAACGACCTTCTAGAGAAACTGGAGAAATTGGGCTGTCGGGTG